CCACCACAGAGTCAAGAATCATTGGGATGTGCTGGAGACAATACACCAGGGGTCCTCAAACTTTTTAAACAGGGGGCCCGTTCAATGTCCCTCAGACATTGTTGTTGGGGGCCAGATCATAGTTTGAGACTTCTCCCTCGCTCCCTCTGTGAAGACATCGCCACCACTCGCTACCTGCCGCCAGGAGCGTGCCCGGTTAAGGATCCTGGCGGGCCGGATTTGACCCGCGGGCCGTAGTTTGAGGACCCCTGCTATACACAGTGGTCTGACTCTCCCATCATCATTACAAGATCTTGGTGAAAAATTAATGTAACTCTGGATGGAAATAAATGTTGTGACATTGCATAAGTTAATGAAAACTATGCCACAGCGAATATGTGCCGTAATCAAAGCTAAAGGCGGTCCAACTACATTTTAGAGTGTGTGAATTTTTTTTAGGATGAGCAGTGTATTAAAAGCTAAAAAGTAAAGCTGAAGTCTACACAGACAGCTAAATACACAGTTGAAATACATATACGGAGCCGTTTAACCCAAAGGGGTTGATTTACTAACCTTATAAACACACCACGAACATGTATACACCTCTGTAGTGTGTTCCCTCCCAACATGATCTATGGGTGGAATCTAAACACCTTTGTAGTGTCTACACACCCAGCAGGTGTGTTGTGCAAAGCCCTGCATGAATTTGCAAGGTGATGTTGTGTAAATTAGCTCTATGTTGTGTTGCTTGCGTTGATGAATGCAGGAATGTAAATGCATGAGCTAACCATTTTTGTCTAAACTGTGAAGCAGCATTATATATGCATCATGTGCATGATTTTTCCATATATGGCATTAGCGGAAATATGCTTTTAGAGACTTTTTGGTTGATAAATACGTTTTGCTGTGTAAAAATCACACGCACCTAGTGCGTGCGTGTGTTTAGGTTAGTAAATCACCCCCAAAGAGTTGTATTTCTGTTCATCCAGTCTTGAGATGGACTTTTATTTCAGTATGAATGTAGTCTAAGCTAGTAATTGCACAAAAAGACATTTGATACAATTTCCTGATGGTAATAAATTTAAGTACTCAGCCAGCAATCAGATTCAAGCTTGCCTTGAAAGCCTAATTGTGATTGGTGATGAAGGAAGCAGAAAAAGAGTAAAACTGTGTATACTCGATTACAACATCGTTTGAAAACTCTAATTTTCAGAACATTCATTTGATTTTTCCAATAGTTAATGGAGCAGATAAATGAATGTTTTGACCGTAGTGAGGAAAGAATCGGAGTAGGATGGAAGATTTTTCTTGAACAAAGAAATTCTACCAGTAAATTTGGTTTTGGTCCAAAAACTCAATTCTTTACAAATAGAAGTGTTAAAATCAGACAAAATATCCAACAACATCTGTTAGGTCCCTCATGGCATTACCCAACGTTCTGATGATATTTTTCATCCAAACGTGTATACCCATGTTAAGACACACAGTACCGACCTCAAGAGGAACACTCCTACTATCCTCTCTCTGATCCTGTATAGATAGTGGTCTCATTGCTGTTCCTGCCCATGGGTATAGGAATTACCATATTCCTGCCACAGTCCTTAGATTTATATTCCTTAGCATGGGTGTCCTGTGCTAAGGGAACATTGATCTACATTTGACCTAAAAACTCAGAGTCTGCAGCAGTGCAGGTTTCCAGTTCCAAAATCATGCTGTCAATGATGATTGGGAGCGGCTGTGGTTGTCCAGAGTTGCTAATCTTCCGAATCATGAGATTGCTATGACAACCAGTCACAAAGAAAGAGGTGCATTTCCTATTCATGACCTTTAATAATTATAGCATGCTCCTAGAAATCTGAAAACATATTCTGGGACACTTCAAAAATAGGCTCTTTTGGATCATATTAATGAGAAACTCTTCAATATACTAACATAGACAAATTAAATTCAAATTGATCTGGGATCCTTGGCTCACTAGAAAAAAGTCAATACCAACAAGCATGCTGGAACCATTGATCGGCAATAATAGTTTGTCTACAACTGGCACTTTGTAACCACTTTCTAATATTCAATGGCTATCTGGGCTTCTACCTTCTTCTCTCCTCCTGCCATATATCAGCCTCCTAATGGAGCATAAAGGGATCTGACACCTTCTCACTCCTTTTCCTCTTTCTCCTTAGTTATATAATATTTTAATTTCCATATGTTTTTGAGGCAATTACCTTTGCAATGTAGCTTTTTCATGTAATGCTTTTTTTTTACCATTTAGGATTCTTAGAGATTCTCCTAATTATTATTTATTGATCAGTACAAGATCATTCCTTGAGTTCACTACACTCAGTGGGGAGGAGTTCATAAAAACTGGAGCAGACAGAATCTGGAGCAGTGGTCCATAGTAGGCAATCAGCTTCTCTGTTCAGTTTGTTCAGTTAAGCTTTGAAAATTAATTGGCAAAAGCTGATTGGTTGCCATGGGCAACTGCTCCAGATTTCGTCTGCTCCAGTTTTTATTAATCCCCCCCAATGTTTTTTTTGTTTTTTTATATAGGGCTGCAACTAATGATTATTTTCATAATCGATTAGTTGGCCGACTATTTTTTTCGATTAATAAAATTAAATAATTACCATCCTTAATTTAAAATAAATTACACAAATGCAGTTTTACAAACATAAAGTTTACTTCAGAATAAAACTGCATGCACAATTTTTTGCAATCGCAGTGCACTGGAACGCACGGCATTGGGGTGCCATTGAAATTAGGAAATATATAAATGGGGGAAGGAAAACTTTTGAGTGTATACTAAGTAATTAAATTAGTATTCCATGGTGAGTCCCCTTTCAATGATTAGAACAGAAAAAGAACGACACCCCAGAAGAGGGGATCTCACCATTCATCCAAATATGCAACAATGTCAATAAAATGTCGGACAAAAGCTACTGTGAGTGCAATCTACTTATTTCTCAATACAATGAAAAGTGAATTCCTTTTCTAATACGTTTTTGCCATCTTTAATTGCGGGACTAAAATCTCTCTAGCTGGAAAGACACTCTGTTTTCTCTGGATAAAATATATCCCGACAAAGTAAATTCATTACAGGGGTGCACTGATCATTTTATTTGTTTTTCTGAATATAATCTCACTCAGCCGAGTGCTCTCCTATGTAAATGTTTAATGTTTGTTTGTATTTTGATACATGTTTTCTATGGATTTTAAAAAACAAGACAAAGTATAGTTTAATAAATTACATTTTATTGAGATTGTTGCATATTTGGATGAATGGCGAGATCCCCTCTTCTGGGGTGTCGTTCTTTTTCTGCCATTGAAATTAATGGCAATGCCACTCACCTCCTGCAGCCGAATTTGCCAGGCCAAAACCGAAAATGACTTTTTTCCCCATCTTTTATCATTTAAAAAAAAAATATGTATTTAAGCACATGGCGCTGGAATAGCTTCAGCCAGGGAATGACAGCTGCCAGTGACAAGATTCAGCAGACAGCAGCTGCATGTAAATACATCAGATAGAGGGCTGGTGTAATAGCCAGCTTGCTATTGGCCATTTCAAATTGCAGTAGCCAATAGCAGGCTGGCTATTGCATCCGCCCAGTTGACAACTATTCTCATAATCTATTTCTATTGATTATTATTGATTCGTTGGTTGCAGCCCTATTTTTATATTTTCACCTTGTTACACCTTGTAATAATGCAACAGAATATTCATTGATATATACTGTGTATGTGTATATGTATATATACAAGGCAACTTTATATTATGCACTATATATATATATATATAGATATATATATATACATATATATATCTATATATATATATATATAGATATATATATATACATATATATATCTATATATATATATATATAGATATATATATATACATATATATATCTATATATATATATATATAGATATATATATATACATATATATATCTATATATATATATATATAGATATATATATATACATATATATATCTATATATATATATATATAGATATATATATATACATATATATATCTATATATATATATATATAGATATATATATATACATATATATATCTATATATATATATATATAGATATATATATATACATATATATATCTATATATATATATATATAGATATATATATATACATATATATATCTATATATATATATATATAGATATATATATATACATATATATATCTATATATATATATATATAGATATATATATATACATATATATATCTATATATATATATATATAGATATATATATAGTGCACAATATAAAGTTGCCTTGAAAAAGGCAACAATGACAGGTGCAGCTGTTAGAGTAAAATACTGTAATGTGAAAGTTCTAAAATAACTTATTATAAGCTAAGCGTAAATTGCAGTTTTTAAAAGATTTTTGTACATTTTACAGCTTATAAAGCAGACATAAGCAGGGAATTTATTAAAACAGTGAACCAAATTAAAAGCCTCATTTGTCCTTATAAAACAATGTAAGTATCAATGTAGGAAGATCAATTTATAGTCACTTAACCAACATATCCTGACACTGTTAAATTAGTCCAGGTTATCTGGGCTTCAGTGACCGCTGGTCACAAAACCGAGTGGACTTGCTGACTTTAGCACATTTTCTGTGTTTATTTGATGCCATTAGTATCTTAACACTTTCATTTGCTGCCTGGAATTTCTCTTTGAAGACCAATTCCAGAGGGTTATCCAACCCAGAAAAGGTCCAGCGCTGGATCACAGAGTAACTTGGTCTACGTGGGACATCGTTGTAGATAGGGTGAGTACTGCAGTGACATTTTTTGTTTTAAAGGCCTGAACAATTGATTTTTTTATTGCAATGTAGATTTGGGCTTTTGTTTTCATTACAGGCTATTTTACAGGTATTGTTCCAAATACTAAGTATGCATAATTTATGGTTTGTTCTAGACTATCTAGAGTTTTGCTTCAGTGTCCTGAAAGAGAAATAAAACTCATGATCTTATTCTCCATAGGTTGATCCATACTTGCCTTATGAGTTTACAAATGAAGGTATGCTCCAGAGGCTCCATGCTTATATCCAGCACCAGGTAAGCCGTCATCTCTCCTACACAAGAGTTGTCCAGAAAAATCTTATCCTTCTATGCCCGCATTAACAGTTTTTTTTTAGATATACTGTACATATAAAAGAGACCCACATTATGTAATAATATGACTGTTTTACTTTTCTTTAAACATTATTTTTCTATCTATAGTAGCTTGTAATTGTATATTACCATCTTTACCATCTTGTCTTGAATTGTATTGTGATTGTAATGTCTGCCCTATATTGTAAAGCGTTGCGCAAAGTGTTGGCGCTATATAAATCCTGTATAATAATAATATGTACACGGGGTAGCCATGTGTACATATTCCTCTAAACGACTTCCTCTTAGTATTGCTGCATAATGGTTGTGCTTTACTGATGCTCTTAGCTCTCTGCAGGTCTACCATACTACAGAATCTGTCCGATTGAAAACAAAAGACTCTCTCTGTAGACTCTAAAGGTGGCCATACACTACTCAAAATTTCATCCATTTACTGCAAAATTCGAGCAGTGTGTGGCCTCATCAGCACCCCTCCATTTGGCAATTTTTGGAGCTGACATGAAAATGATTGGCCAGTTACTACAATAGCCAGCAGGTGGAAGTCCCCCATCCCTGTTTAGCGAGGAGATTAGGAGATGTCAAACGTGGCAGCCTATATATTCTCTCACATCGGGTTTTCTTTAAATAACTTATATTAACTTTTGGTTAATGCATCAGTCCCCCTCCCCTTTTAGACGCATTTCATGTTCCTCCAGGAGTGAAGGATTCCTCTACCTGTGTGTTGTCATCAGGGGACACTAAGGTCTTTGTTTCACCAGAGCCAGGAGGTGGGATCCAAAAGGGTGCACCATATCTTTTAATACTGACCACACAAATTGCGTCCACTTCCTGATGAAGCGGCTGAAGTTTGATTCGTAGGTGGCCCTGCCTGCATTTTTCAATAGGAGTCTGAAAAGTTTCAGCCGGACAGTGCCTGTATCCAATTAGATGCAGATATTGTCTGGGCATTCAGCAGCCGCTGAAGCAGCAGCTACTAAATACAATAGCCGGTAGTAGCGATTCCTCCATCCATGCTGTCCAGCATGGGTGGGGAAATGGATGGATTTCTTTCATTAAGCCCATGAAGAGTGTGTGGCCAGTTTTACTCCAGAGGAATGGAAATTTCTTGACAGACATATCCTATGCTGACAGGCAGAGAGGGTTATCAACAGTGTGTCACAATCTGGGATCAGGCTTGGAGTCCAGTAGCTGAACCAGCAGGCAAATTTGTGCTGAAACAGGCCGGGTTTGGTACACAATTAGACGGTAGTAGTATAGGAGCAGGCAGAAGCGTAGTCAAAGATCAAGCCAAGGTCAGTAGCCAAAGGTATCAGATATAAAGCGGAAGACGATGAGAGTAGTCGGTGAATCAGCAGCCAAAGGTCAGTACATGGATAGCAGTATGAGCGTATTGTAGCACAGAAGGAGCAGGAAGCAAGATATTGGCAGGAGCACAATAATCTGGCAAACAGGAAGTGTAGAGGTATGGCTTAAATAGGAAGTTCAAGGGGGGATCAAGGAGTTCAGAGTTCAGCAGAAACTAGGTTTAACTGAGGATTACACAGGAGATCAGGCAAGGAGCTGTCCAAGGGTCCAAGGTGGCTCAAAAGGTAGAACCACTGCCACATACAGCAGAGGCCCTGGGTTCAGATCCGGTTCCTGACACAGTGACAATGTTGAAACCCTTCTCCTCAGCCTGTGTCAGGATACAGGGTGATGTAACTACAGGGCATTTAGTGTTGTCACCCTGTGAAAGGCTTTTTGACTAGCATGATCATCACCAGGTATTTTTTTTGAGAAAAGAGGATGCTGAAGGTAAGTTAAGAAAAGACTTCCATTTACATACTGTGATCTTTAGTGGAATACATTTTCTTTTTTTTGTGTATAGCTGTATTTTAATAAATGTATCAGCTTTATACTACAGTATGAGCAATTTTAATCTACAGAGCAATTTAACCGTAGCAATCACTTCCTTTGCCGCACATTAACTTAAGTTCAAGGTTTTAAATCGCTCAGTAGCATGACATTAAAATTGCCTATGTAGTTTAGCTGTTAGGTGCCTATTTACCCATTGATAGTACTGATTTGGCTCCGGCTAAGAGTTTGCTCCATGCGACTGCATTAAATTGTTAATTCAATGAAGTTCAGACTGTTTGATGGCTCCCTTTGGGCCGCTGATAACAACATATCCTGATTTCCTGCAAATGTTCATTATATGTAATGGTTGCCCGTGCATAATGTCGCTTAAATTCCTTTATGTCTTCCTCCTTTCCTTTTTCCATCAATCCTTCCCTATTCGGTTTTTAACTCCTTTTTGATTTCTGCATTTTTTTTGCATCTTCTTTTCTTTTCATTTTGTTCACCATGCGACCTCTCTATGAATTAATTTATACTACAGGAATTTTGCTCCCCTCCTTTGCCCTTTCCCATTCCTGTTAATACCTCCCAGCCCCCTCTTACCTCCTCTTTGGTTCTCATTAATCATACACATCTGGTTTGGCCATCCAATGAACCTGCTCCGTCCACCTGGCCCCCAGTCTCTGCCATGCAGGTCTGGCTGTCCGCAGAAGGAGAATCCTGCACAAGTGCATGCTGGAAGCATAATTTGGTTTGTGAACCCACATACTTCAGTTTAATCAATCATCGGCGGTTTCTTGAGCAGTGAGTATACTGGAACGTAGCACCAAGGTTTCAAGGTCAAAAAAAAAATTTGTGATAGTAAAATATTAGTCTTCCAGGACCCATTCACTCGTGGAAATATAGTTTATTTACATTTATAGTTTTAGTTACTGTTCCAGTAGAAACACTTTCTATTCTTTATTTGTCCTAGGGACCAATGTCACCAGAAAGGGAATCTCCCCAGCAAGCATACAGGCAGCGATAGAATCCTGACAGTGGTTCTAACTCTTCTCTGTATCTAAAACTTAAATAAAGCTTTGGCTTTAGAAGCTTCAGAACATGAAAAAAAGAATCTAACATCTGTTGGAAGTATACTGTCTGGTAGTGTCTCAAAGGATAACCACGTTTGTACAGTTATCCTTTAAGGTGCCCCTTTACCCCCCAGCACCCAAGAGCAATGCAGTGTGACCCTCAGAGAGCTGAACAGCCATACCTTTACTTTTTTGCAGGAGTTTGGACCGATGAGGATAAGGGCGTTTATACATAGCTCTAAAAAAGCAGCAAGTTTCTTAGTGCAATGGGGGTTTTATTGTATAAATGTATGGATCTACAGGTGAAACTCGAAAATTAGAATATCGTGCAAAAGTTCATTTATTTCACTAATGCAACTTAGCCGTCTACCAGGAGATTTTGGAGCACTTCATGCTTTCTTCCGCAGACGTGCTCTATGGGGATGCTGACTTCATTTTCCAGCAGGACTTGGCACCTGCCCACACTGACAAAATTTTTTTGAGATTGTGGATCTGGGTTTTCATGAGCTGTAAGCCATAATCATCACAATTATGAGAAATCAGGGCTTGAACTATCTTGCTTTGCATGTCATGAGTCTATCTCATATATTAGTTTCACCTTTTAAGTTGAATTAGTGAAATAAATGAACTTTTGCACGATATTCTAATTTTTCGAGTTTCACCTGTAAATGCATTTGTCTTCATATGCCCATGTTCATGAGTCATAAAATTTGGTAAAAGTGTTGGAAGAGGGTTGTCTTTTCATCAGAACATCAGAAAATGCAAAAAAAAAGTGAGAATATTAGCCTGTTTGCTAAACTATGACATATTTACTCCAGCAGACCCTTTTGTGCACACCTAAAGTGGCCTTACACTTAAATCCCGATTGAACCTTCAGGTTAGATCAACTAAATAAATTGCAAATGCATTAAGACAGAAGGTGTTCAATGTCTTTTCTTTCTAAAGCAGCCACAGCCTGAGTAAAAAAGCACCTTGTACCCTGCCTGCAGCTTCAGAATGGGACACTTGTTCTCTGGATAGAAGCAGCGGTCTCATTGCAGAGGTCTGACACACCCCCTTCTGAGTCAGACCTATAGCTCTACTATTAGCCAAGCTCATTCTCCCAGTTGATTGTAGAGCTCTGGCTCTGACTTAGCAGGGGGTGGACCTTTGCAGAGAGATCACTGAGCAAGGGTCCCATTCTGCAGCATGCTGGCAGAGGACAGGACTTTCTATTCTCGCTGCTGCTAATTTTAAAGAAAACAAACTGTATGACATTGAACACCTTTTGCTTAGATGCACCTGCTATGTGTTTGGCTGATTTAAACTGAATGCTCAATGGGGATTTTATAATTAAAGGGCACAGATCTAAACCCTGTAGGTAACTGTACCAGTTGTTTACGGTGAAGTATTTAGAGATATGCAAAACAAATGAACACAAAATGGAGCAAAAAATTACATCTTTAATGAAAGCTGACATCTCTGCACTGAATAGATAATCCCTACAGGCTTATTCAGCAATGCAAAGAGTAGCGTCCAAAGTGCTGCCAACCAACAGCTCTTTGTTTGTTTTCACTATCGTAAGGGGTGAAAGGTGATCTGTAATAGGATGTGAGCTACTGCACTGCATATCATCGCTGTGGTTTGCAGTACCATATTTAATTAGCGTGTTTATGTTTTTACTGTGGCATTAGGGAAAAAGGATGCAAAAGGTTAGCTCACACTTTACAAAATTCTGCATCGTAAAAATGAACCACCTTCTGTAATTGTTATAGGTAATTCCCAGCTCCACACAATATTTGACCCCATTGTCTTACATCTCATCCCATCCTGAGCGCTAGAATTACAGCCGCGTATTGACTATTGGTAGGTATGCATTAGCAATCAGTACACTGTAAAAAATCGGCAGTTACACAGATAGCTCAAAGGCAGGCAGAATACAAAATGATTTGTGTTCAAATCCAAGGTGGTTGTTGCATTGAAAATAACATCTACCACAGATCTCAGCAGATTTCTTATGGTCTTTTATTTTTTCATCTTTGTGGAATGTGCAAGAAAGGAAACTGTATCTGATTGAAATTAAAATACTTTCTAAATTTTACCTGGAGAGAAGATGGGCTTTGGGTAAATCTGTCTTCTTGTTAACTTCTTAAACCTTCAAGAGGAAACAAAGCTTTCAAAGCCTCTAAAATCAAATACAGAGGTGAAGACAAATTGAAGCCAAATACTCAGCAGAAATATGGGTTAAACGGCAGTCAACGTACAGATATTATGCACTGAGGCATTATATTCATACATTGGCTTTCGCTGCTGAAAGGTTAGCACTGCTAGGTTTCAACACAGAACTCCCAGAACAGATAGCAATGCACTTTGCTAAGGCCCCTCTCAAACCAACCCTGACTGTAACAATGACACTAACCCTCACAATAGCCTTACCTATAACCCTACATTAACCCTCCCTGTAGCCCCAACACTTATCTTTCCTGTAACCCCCATCCCTCAGTATGACCCTGACACTAACTCTCCCCGTAAGCTTAACAGTAATCCTCCCTGTAGCCCTAACACTAACCCTTCCACTGTCCCTCCCTGTAAAGCTCATATTAACTTTCCCTGTAACTCTCACACTAACACTTGTGGTAAACCTAACACTTTCCCTCCCTATAGCCCTTATATTAACCCTCACACCAATCCTCTCTGTAACACTAACCCTCCCTATAGCCCTTACATTAACCCTCACAACAATCCTCTCTGTAACACTAACCCTCCCTATAGCCCTTACATTAACCCTCACAACAATCCTCTCTGTAACACTAACCCTCCCTATAGCCCTTACATTAACCCTCACAACAATCCTCTCTGTAACACTAACCCTCCCTGTAGTCCTAACACTAACCTTCACAATAATCCTAACTGTAACACTAACCTTCCCTGTAACCTTAAACCTAACCCTCACACCAATCCTCTCTGCAACAATAACCTTTCCTGTAGCCCTAACACTAACCTTCTCAATAATGCTCTTTGTAACCTTAACCCTCCTTGTAACCTTAAACCTAACCCTCACACCAATCCTCTCTGCAACAATAACCTTTCCTGTAGCCCTAACACTAACTTTCTCAATAATGCTCCCTGTAACACTAACCCTCCCTTCAGCCCTAATACTAACCCTCACGCTATCCCTCCCTGTAACTCTCACAGTAATCTTCCCTGTAACCCTCACATTAACCCTCCTTGTAGCTCTAGCACCAACCCTCAATATCCCAAACACTACCTCTCCCTTAACATTAACCGTGTAGCCCTAAGACTGACCCTCACGCCATCCCTCTCTGTAACCTTCACTCCCATGCTAGCACTAAGCCTCCCTGTAGCTCTAACCCTAAAAATGTGATGTAATTTTTTTAACAACATAGACACATGAGATTGTATTAGAACAGTTAGGGGCAAGAGATGGTCATATTACCTATCTGTGTAACTATGACATTACTGCATTGTGTCTTCAAAAAGCAGCCTATCATCCTTCACTATTTATGACTCTTGAGACAGGCTGGAAGTAAACCAGTAGCCAATGGGCAAGGCAAAATGTTCCATAGGCCATAGTGTGTGCATCTCTGTTGTAGTTCATATTTATTACAGTCCTCTTTCACTCACATCTAATTTCTGTTCTCTTAGGCTTGGAGCTCTTTGTGAAAGTACCGAATCTGTAATGAGCCACTTGTATCCTGCAGTGTCACTCCAAGTCCGTGAATGTTACTTGCAGAGGGAGCCACTGCTCTTTAGCTGCTCAGGACAAAACACGAAATTTCGCAGGCTATGTCCGTGTAGAGACTACCATCGAGGACAGGTGGCCTTGTGCAAAGACTGCTCTTGAAACTACAGCCCATTAGCCGAAGTGTCACAGCCACATGTACAGGTCCCAAGCCTGTAATTCAATTTAGAGGCTTGGATCTCTGTCCTGGGTTTTATGCTGCAGCATAAAGCAATATTGTGTAATATATACATCTGCACAGAACATTGTGTAAGAATCTTTGAAGCCAAGTGAAGATCTCCATGCTGTGCTATGGTGTTCGGCCCTTCCATTGAGCAGGGGGTGATCAGTACTTTTTATGAAAAAAGCACAATGAAGATATCCAAGAACAAAAACACATCAGAAGACTTTTGCTGGTTGCCCATATACACGGGATTAACATACTTCAAAGGGAAGGGCACATTCTAACTGCAGTCTCTTGAGATGCTTAACTACTGCTGTCTATTGTTTTGCCTCTAGTGGCTCCTTGGAGTGAAACTGCCATTCCTACAATTGTTGTGACATTCATTTTTTTTTTACAGAAATATAGTTACAATAAAAAAGGGTTGACATAATTATTAAATAAAACCAAGTGGACCAAATGTGCAGTATATGAAGGTAACCAATTTGCTGCCTTGAAGCCGTAAATTGTGTTTGTGGGAAATATATGCACTTTCCTGACAAGCTGACACTCCAGATAAGCATGGAGGGTTAAAAAGAAGCGTGCGGAGCAATAGACGTCTTTTCTTTACTTATGTTAATAAAGATTTAAATGGAAACTGAAAAACATTGTCGTTGTTTTGACTGGAGTTTGTCAATGGTCATGGTACAGACGGCGCCTACAGGTGTTCTTGAGGAATCTGCAGGTTTTATTTGCTGGGCTGATGTTAAATCCAAACAGAAGAAAACATACAACATTGTGTTACATTATATGGCTAAAATTGTGGACACCCCTGACCATCACGCCAATATGTGCTTGTTGGACATTCCATTTCATTGGAATTGATCTTCCTTGTGTGGCTATAACAGCCTCCCCAGCTCTGGGAAGGCTTCCACGAGATTTTGGAGTTTCTATGGGAATTTGTACCTATTCAGATAAGAGCATTTGTGAGGGCAGGTACTGATGTTGAGTGAGAAGTCCTGGCAGGCAGTCAGCATTACTGTTCATCCCAAAGGTTTTCAATAGGGTTGAGGTCAGGGCTTTTTGCAGGCCACGTGACTTCCTTTACACCAAGCTCATTGAACCATGTCTTTATGGAGCTGGCTTTGTGCACAGGGGCAAAGTCATGCTGGAACAGAAAAGAACCTGCGCTAAAGCATTGCCACAAGGTTGGAAGTGCACAAGCGTCTAAATTGTCTTTGTATTCTGTAGCATTAACAGTACCCTCCACTGTAAACTCCTAAATTCAAAAATTTGGAGGAGTAGCCACATTCTTTTGGCTTTTTCGTGTAGGTGTGATGGCCAGGTGTCCACATATTTCATGTAGTGTATACTAGGTGTATCTAAATGTGTATTCACCATGAGTAAGGTTAAAAGAAGCAGAAAATGAACAATGAAAACAGATGTGTGATTATTGCCCTGGCTTATAAAACTGCCTGCTAATACACAAGCAGTTTATAGGCCGTACAATACACACACATATACAGTAGGTTAAACTGGATGGAACTATGTCTTTATTCAACCTTAAGGTGACACTAAACTCAGGAGTGAGATCTTAAAAATGCATTTAAGTACCTTAACTATTAACAACAATGTATCTTATTTGTGTATCCATGTAGATCCTCAAATCATCTCTGAATTGGTGGTGACACTGTCCTTCCTTCTAGAGGGTGGCTACTTTTGTTCCCCATGGTCCCGGTGTGTGTTGTAATGTAGCCACTGCTCTAAGCTCACTCCCATGCTGGAGTACAATCTCATGTTTAGATTACTAATTTGTATCGAGATTGTAGTAGATTGCCGGAGCGAGCTTGGACTGGTGGCTACTTTGCAACCCACATAGGGACCATGGGGAACATAAGTAGCCACCCTCCAGAAGGAAGGACAATGTCGGCACAAAATATAGATGGTTTGAGGATCTAGAGCTGAGTGATACACAGATATGCTGCATTTTTGTTAATATTTCAAGTACTTCAATGCATTTTTAAAATGTAACCTGAGTTTAGTGTCACTTTAACTATGTAACTGTTCAGTATGTAACTACACAGCACTGTGCAATGGATGACAGAGATGGCCCAAGCACAAGAGCAGCAGCAGAACACCTAAATGTACATGCCATACCATTCAGAACTGAGTTGCTTTCTGTGGTTTGCAGAATACGGTTGCCTGAATCTAGTTCCACTTTACATTTTTTATAGACACATTACCATAATCACTCAACTGCTCACAATGTTAGTATGATCGAATATTTGTCAGTGGTCTGTTACAAGAAATGCTTATATACTGACTTTATAACATGTTTGCCATCACACTGTGCAGTGCTGTGTGGCATAAAAAAAGACCCCACTGTGTGGTTGGTTACCCACCAAATACACTATGCAGACAGCTCACATTTGTCTGCATGTTAAGGAACTATCTGTAAATGTCTGGGTGTTTGGGCACCCTGGTACAGATATCAGTATGATATTAGGCTCTGAGTATGTGAGTGACGACAAGGAGCCTGTGGAGGGAATGTTTGAGATTATTTCACCCGCTTCACAATCAGGGGTACACCAATCACCAGGGAAGGGAGAGGGATAGAATGTTCATTACAGTAATATCTGGATGAAAAAAACTATCCATGGGCAGGTATAACACCTTTCATTCACATTAAAGTCCTCCATTTTTTCAGGGTTAAAGTGCAACTGAAGCCAGATGGGAAATAATCCAGTGGGGTCACTAGTTCTGGTGATCATGCTGACCACCAGGGATTTTCCTCACTTTTAAGGGATTTCCTCTCACTTCCTGTTGTGGCTATTGGATAGGAGGTTAAGGAAAATCTCCCCAATGGGACACAGATGGAAAAAGAAGGCCGACAGAGGTTATAACTAGGGATGCACGGATACCGTTTTTTGGGTATCGAGTACTGATATTTGTCTCGATTATCAGGAAGTCGGGCGGCGGATTATGACCCGTCGCCCGTCTTCCTGATTGCCTCTGAAGCCGGTGTTCTAGCGAAAGAACACCTGCTTCACTTGCCGAGGCTGCCTGGCTTCCTGACCAATCATGAAACCGGGTGGCGAGTCATGAGGTTCAATCTGACTTCCTGATTGGTCAGGAAGCTAGGCTGCCTAGCAACAAGTGAAGCCGGCTTCCTTGCCAATCAGGAAGCCAGGCGGCAGATAATGGCCTGCTTCCTGAGTGGCTAGGAAGCTGGCCTAATTTGTTCCTAGGCAGCCCGGCTTCCTGACCAATCAGGTAGGTGGGTCATTACGTGCCGTCAGGCTTCCTGATTGGTTAGGAACCTAGGCTGCCTAGCACCAAGTGAAGCTGGCTTCCTAGCTAATCGGGAGGAGGGTCATAACCCATCGCTCAGCTTCCTGATTGGAAGGGAAGCCGGCTCCATGCTCCCTCGGCACTGCCGGTCAGAGGGAGAGCTCCGGTATCAGAGAATTTAGGCGACTACGAGTACTTGGTAAATACTCTGTATCGGTGCACATATGGTATCTTAGGGGAAAGAAGAACACTATACTTATGTATTCATTAATTGTTTTGTAATGTATCCAACTGGACCAGGTAAAGGTGAAATTGGTAAGCCTATTATGTGAGATATGGAAAAGTTCCTCCATTTCATTTCTTCTATTTCTACATTCTAGCTGCATTGGTCATATGCATTGAAAGAAATGTAAAATAATGTTTCTTAAGAGTTGAAGTGTGGTGTAGGAGGACCTGGGTGGAATCATAATCAAGAAACTTTGGAGATTAGCAGGAAAGTGCTGAAGTGATACAGTGAACCTCATGCCAAATGATTGTTGTGCTATACATTAGCACCAGATGTGGAGCACTGTTTCTGCCTTCGGCTCACACCTCCAGGATTGATCACTAATTTTAGGGGATATTTTGTGAAGCAGGGCAGGTACTCTATACCATCAAAATAGTAATTTGTATCCATTCTCCTGGACATTAACTTTCAGTACGCCAACGTTAACAGATTCCCACTTTTGGAGATATTTTTGTCAAATTAAAATGTGCAATAGAGATGGGCTTTAAACTATTAACATAATATTAATAAATATTAACAGTCATGTGACAGTTTTTCTAAAACAATATCAACTAATGTTTCCAGGACAGTGGTGGAGCACCAGAGCCAGGTCCCAGCTGCAATCGCTGCAACCCTGGTAGTTCTCATGAAAATGCCAAGTATCGGCACTGGTATCTGAACTGGTATTGGTGCATCCCTATTAATTAGTACTTAATTTAATTCAAGGAATTTGTGCTGAAAAATAGAGAAGTGGGGACACTATCATTGTTTTGTTTTTTGTGGGACTCCGTCACATACTGTATATTGTTAACTCTACACTGCTTTAAAAAAAAACATTCAGACCCTAGTCCAAGTCTTTACTTTTACTGAATAAAAAATCTTACTATGAAATGTCAGATTCTGAGTGTATGATTGTAATGCAGCTAAAAAGAATATGGAAATAAGCCTTTTGTTAAAAACGAAGGAACTTGGATATATGTGGCTTGTATTTGGTGATTATTTTTACATTGGGCTTTCAGAAGCTACTTAGTTCTGCAATTAAATCTATGATATGGAATGAGGCAAATTGTCTGAAACAGATTCTTTATTGAACAATAAAATGTCTAGACAGGACATTCAATTAAATCAGAGAGTAAAGTGCCTCAATGTGCACAAACCTTGTTACAACCTTGGAGTCTCCTGACACAGAATGCTTTGGTTTCTGTATAAATCATGTATGGATATAAACAAAGCAATGCTGGACTAAAGATAAAAATCAGCAGTGACATTTAAAGCACACAGAACCATATAAAACACTTTACCAGCCCAGTGAAGCAATAATGTTTATAAACTGGCACCGCTATTCACTTACTAGGGTATGAGAGACCAAGTGCGGAATGTGCAGTTACACAGTAGATAAGGTTGAAAAAAGTCCATCAAGTTCAACTTCTGTGTGTGAGAGGGTGAGTTGTATGTTCTTGATCGAAAAAAAACCCTACAAGCAAAGGACAATTTGCTGTAAGGAGGTAAAACAAAAACCTATCTGGCCCTATACTGGTGATCAGATTAATCAAATTAAAGAATCCTTATAGCCCTGAATATTTTGCTGAAAGAGGATACATTAAAAAACTTTTAGATATGGTCAACCCTCTCAGCTAATACTACTGTCTGTGGAAGGGAGGTCCATATTTCCAATGCACTAACAATAAAGAAACCCTTGTCTCAGTTTAAGATTTAACCTATTTTCATCCACTCTTAAATCATGGCCACGTTAGTTAGTACCAGTGCTTTTTTTTTTAAAAACATGGTTAATTATGGTAGAGCAACACACATAAGCTCACAACAGCTTGCACGTTCTTTAAAGCTGGGTGTAAAAATAAATGATGGTAGGGCATGCAGCACAATTTGACAGCTGAATCATCAGGTAAATAGCCAAGTCTTGTGCACATCTTCCACACTGCCCAGTAGCTCCTAATTAGGCAATTTATCTCAGGTCACCAGTTCAGCTTCCAATGCCATACCTCCAGGTTCCACAATGGAGGGTACATCAGCATTGCCACATTTTTCCAGTGAACATAAAGCTGACCTACAAAGCAGTTATACTAAATCAGCGAGATGTAGAG